TCGACCAGCGGCCTAAAGAGTGTATGGAGAGTACGCACTTTATGGTGACCTGTTGTACTCGGGCACAGGTTCTATTATATTTTTGTCTTCACTGCTTCTATAGAAGACGAACATAAAGTGTATCTGGCAGTTGGATGAGAAGACCCCGACTAGAGGCATTGTGATTAGATGAGCAGCTGTTGCAGTGATACTTATGAGGTACCAGTGGCGAGAGGATTGGTTGGATTTTCTTCTCGAACATAGACGTATCCTTGTATTCCACGGGAGATCATCATTGTGGTCATTGGAGTAAACCTGAGGGGGGCTTGACTTTATTTGGTTAGGTCAACCATTGGGTAGCCAATAGAAGACATTGACTTCATTCATGTTTTCGAGGGCGAAAACTCACCCCAGGGGGAAGTACTGTTATGGAAATATAAGGGGGTAGAGTTAATTATGACCATAATGGAGTTGAATATACGGATTAGTGGAAATGGACCATTTATATGGGTTGCTTATTTCTTACAGATATTCTTAGCCTGTTTGTTTGCCCTATTCCCCTTAGAAATGGCTATTCTATGGTCATTGGTAGTCCTTGTACTTGAGGACCGGCCAAGGGGATTGGCATGGCTGGGAATAGCGACCCAGAGGGTCCGAATGGGTACGGTGAGCTGATATTGGGTATGTGATATTGTTGTGTATTACTGGTGTCTGTACTTTACGGGTGGTTGGTTATGATTGGACCAATCACTGGAGAGTAAAGGGGGTTGGTCTGCCCCCTGTGACTGTAATCGCTTGGTTCCTGCTCCTGCGCCCACGGGCCGCGAGGCCGGGCAGCTACGCCGCACGGCTCGGGCCGGGGCGTCCCGTTGTGTGACCATACCCCCGCACGGCAGGCCCGTCGGACGCGTTCCAGGGCCCACCACGCGTACTGAGGCAGCGAGCACCCCGACATCCGGGGTCCCCGACGGACCCCGAGGACCGGTGACGGCACCGGGTGCATGCGAGCGGCCAGAGGCGGAAGGGACCAGACGGGGGCGGCATCGGGTGGCCGGCCCCCGCCACAACAAAAGAGGTGTGGTGAAAGGTTGCTTTATTCTTTCTTTCGCTCCCGCCCACCTCAGCCCTATGATATTGTGGCTTGACATAATGTAAGAGAGACGTTTGGCAAACTGGAGAATACGTCACCACGGTGATGTTGGTGCACCCGAGTGGTCACTCTGGGGATGCAGCAAAATGTGTGTGTGTGCATGAGTCTGAGTGCGAGTTACGGATTGAACCTTCACTGACTGGAAACGGGTTGGGCAGGGCCACCCGTGTTTAAATACGACGTAAAAATTGCCCAGTGTACATAAGGACAGTACATACAGACTTATGGAGTCCGGTGAGCGGCAGCCAGATGCCCTGGAAGGGGTAGAAAACGAGTTTTTGTCAAACACCATCATCGCCCTTGCCAAGGGCGAGGTGGACATTGTGTTGCGGGTGCTGGATATGGCGGAAGACTGATCATTGTACGCAACTTTCATCACGTAATCTGAGCGTCCAAAGAAGCCGCAAGAACGTAAAAATAGCCGTAAAAATAGAGCCTTTTGCAAATTTACGTTTTTACGCGTAAAAACGTAAAAGTAAAAACGTAAACGTAAACATAAAAACCAAGCCTGGCTTTAGTGGCTACTACGGGGTGGAACTTACCCCACGTGCTTGTGACTCTGCGGCGTTTGTTACGTCGTTCGTTCCGCTACACAGCGTAGCCTTTCGGTGTCATCAATGCGCCCCCCATTAATGCGCTATTCAATCAGCGAACTTTTGCTCCACTCATAGTGACTGAAGTAGATGTGTTATTTGACGATTGCGGGTTTGGTTCCGACAGTTTTGAGGATCATATGCTTCAGAAGTGTTTTCAATGCTACAGAAAAGCATGGATGAGCTTGAATCCGAAAAAATGCAGTTTTCTGCAGACTTCCATTGTTTTTCTTGGTCGGTGCAAAGGATATTGAGCCTGACCCAAGAAAGATTGAAAAGATCGAAACATGGGAAAGGTCTGCGACACTTTGAGTGTCCAAAGGTTTCTTGGGTTTGTGAGCTACCACAGGAGGTTCAATAAGGGTTTTGCAAAACGGGCACAGCCTTTGCATGCTTTGACGGAGAAACAAACTGGATTTGAATGGAGACCTGCGCAACATAGCGTATTCGACAATCTAAGCCAAGCACTAGTGAGGTCTCCATTGATGACTACACCACTTTTCGACAAGGATTTTTTGTGCATACTGATGCATCAGATGCGTGTTTGTGAGCGGAGCTCAGCCAGCGGGGATCAGGCGGGTTACCACACCCCGTATACTACTTGAGCAAAGGGCTGACGAGGGTAGGGAGAGACTATGGCATGACTGAAAAAAAACTGATGGCTGTTTTCGTTGCTTTAAAAAAGCTCAGACATTATCATTTGGGGCGACGCACCACCGTCTACACAGACCACGCTCCCTTGAAGGGATTTCTGAAGCATTCCAAAAATTTTGGGCCAAAATGGCGTCATCAAGGGTGGCACGATGGTGCGTGATTCTTGCAGAATACGACTTTGAGATTGTGTGATGGCCTGAGAAATTGAAAAAAAAACTGATGCTCTCTCCATATTGCCCACGATTTAGGAAGAGGAAGATGCAGTCAATGAAGATCTGGATATGGTGATTGTGGGGCTTAGCAGTGACGCTTGGTATGGCGACATGCATAGGTATGTCGCAACTGAGGAATTTTGGCCAGAAATACTGCAAGAGGATGAAAAATTAATCAAGCGCCGGGCTGACCTTTTGCGGTTATGCATGGGAAGCTATACCACAAGCATTCAGTGGACGATCCGCAATTTGTGGTACAACAGCAGGATGGAAAGAGTGTTCTCAGTGGCGTTGATGATGATGCGGGCCACTATGGTGCACGCGTGACACTGACGCAGCTGATGAGGGCATAGTGGTGGCCCACTATGGCCAAAGACGTCAGTGAAGACGTCGAAGCTTGTGAAGCCTGTCAGAAGTACAGCCCAAATGTGAGCCCAGCGAAATCAGAAATATGGCTGGTATTGGAGCCGTCTGAGGTTACTGCATGCGACTTTCTGAGCCCGTTCACACCAGTGAGTAATTGCAGGTATCTGCTGGTGGCTGTAGTCTACAGCCTGTAGTCTATGCAACACGGTGGTGCGAAGTAAGGCCAGTTGCAACTGCAGATCACCATCATGTGATGATCATGCTGAGTGCAATTTATGTCCGATTTAAATCCAAATTTGGCAACCGCAAAATCTGCCTTTCTGACCGGGGAATGGCATTCACAGAGCAACATCTTCGGCAGATGGCGCATGATCTTGGGATAGCATGATTTTGTTCACCATCTTACTCATCCAAGAGCAATGGGCTGGTTGAGCGCAAGAACCGTGAGTTGTTGGATGGATTGAGGAGGCTGACCGATGGACAGAGCGAATTGCGGATGTGTGAGATGGGGCGTGCAGTTCTGGCTGTCAACTCTAGTCAGTGAAGTGCTCTCATTTCGAAGATTTGATGGGATATGCATCAAGGCGAACATTGAGGCCGTGGTACTAGTACACGGGGTAGAATCGTTGGTGGAAGGCTGGAGCCAGCCGGAGGTTGAAGAATCACCGCAGATAATTGAAGAACTGCAGCCGTGATGGGATTGATGCAAATCGAGCAGTGAATGCTGCCCGTTTTGACGGCTTCGACAGGGACAACGCATTGCGCACACTGCGCCACCGAGCGCGGCTCAAGCGACGCCTTCAAGACGGGCCCCAGGTGTGGCTCTGAATCGCTTCAACTCCTGTGAGACTCGACATGCCAGGTGGCATGGCTCGGGCCATTCTTGGAACCTCAATCTTCAACATGGATGGGCACCCAGGTACTCGGGCCACACAACGCAACCCCAAATCGCTGCGCGCGCTGCAGAAAAGAGGGAAACGAGGCCCAGTACAACCCGCCCACATGCACGACCTGCGGTGTTGTGGGGGACCATGAGACACGGGACTGCCATGACAGACCGCAGGCCCTAGCAGAACGAGGTATTTTTAGGACCGGTCCTGACGTCCAGGACCGCGTCCGGAACGGCGCCTTGGACACAAAATCCAGGACACTTTTTAACCACTACCGGACCAGATCCTGTGGGTTCCTGACTGGAGTCAATGTTGGCATCCACTGCAGGACTTGCTCGCGGACCCTTCAGGACCCTCAGGATCCGGTCCGGTAATGGTGAAAAAGGCGCCCTGGAATTCGTGTCCAGGACGCCGTCCCGGACGCGGTCCTGGATGCCATGACCAGTCGTAAAAATACCCCGATCTGCTAGTGAGGGTTCAGCCACCTATGCGGTGCCCCCAGCCACTGGGGGCGTCACACACCACCTGGTCCGCACTGGAAGCCAGAAAATGCAGATGGAGGAGCCAGGCGGAGGCGCCATGTGACCAAAAATGACACATTGATAAATTTCCATTGTAATTTCATTGTCCTTTCACCATGGGATGAAACATGAGTTTTCTTTTCTTTTGGAGTTGGGAGGGCTTCGGGAAATCGGGGGGTGGGCGGGTGTTCTGTTTGGCGCTGAACAGAAACTACGATGCGATCAACAACATTGGTCTGGGATTCATTCCCAACATCGCCTCTAAGTTGCAAGGGCAGTTTTTTGTCATGTTTGTGTGACAAATGCAATCCAAGCATCTTTACCCTAAACGTACGCATGCGGTTCACATCCATTGTCACGACGCTTCTTCCGCCGCCCACTCTCCGGCACTAATAGTTCAGTTGCAGCTCAGAAATGGACAATACCAGCAAGCTGGAGGTACCAGGGCGTTTAAATGGGACGTAAATTTTGACATATAAAAGAACACCAGCGTGCTGCTGCCCTACCTCCTCTCTGATTCAAATCTCCCCACAGGAGCTCTGTTGCAATATTAGGACATTTTCCGCAGTGGATTTGTCCAACTCTCCACCTCGTCCCTAGGGATCATCATACGGATCATAGGGATCAGTCCTCATTCAAATCTCCCCGCAGGAACTCCCCGTGTTGCTCCCCGCCTCGACGATCGACTCGATCCTCGTCACAGTATGTGCGCCCGCAGCGCCCGGTGCAACAATTCGCCGCCCGTCGTATCTCGCCGGTATTAGTATCTCCGACGCCGGCGTCTCTGCCCTCATGAATTGGCCCGCTGCGGCGTTGGACCCCATGACCTGGACCAGACGCCGCGTGGCGGCCTGCATGAACTTTTGGCCCAGCTCCGGGTCCGCGCGGTTGAGCTTGAGGTAGGCCTGGCTGGCGAGGACGGCGGCTAGCCGGTCGGGGCTGCCGCCCGTGAAGTTGACGCATGCCTGTCGCAGTTGCGGAACAACAGTGTTCATAACGCTTCAGCCCGGGATTGATGGCATCAATTCTATACTGGATACGTATTATCCATTTATTCGTGTGCTACATGAGTTACGCAATGCGTATTTCACACAACACACGAGTAAATGGTAAATTTCATAATATGTATCCAGTACAGGACAATGTCCCCCACTAAATACAGGGGTGGAAATATTCATTTCATCTATTGGCGAGTGCATTCTCACAAGAAAAGAGCACCCCACGGCAGTGTTTGCTTCACTTATTGCCATGTCGTGATCGTTCATGCGACGCCTTGTGTCTGAGCCATGGGGCCGTTCCAGAAACAACATTATGGGCACTTATTCGGCCAGGCGATCGCTGCAAAAACACCCCATCCCTCGCCATTAGATACAGATGCATTTATGTATCATGCATAATGGCTCGTCGTGTATCTGTAGTTTCCCTGCGCGGGGTACATTGCTGAATGAACGGCTGTGCTATAACTTTGTGGAGCTTTTCGGAAACAGCTGCCGTAGGAATCGTCAGTCAATGATGACTCCGGATTTTGGTCAGCTGCAGAGAGCCTGGATTAAGCAATATTAGCCTTACCAAAATTGACAAAATGCGTCTTCCAACGACTTTATTGTGTCTTTGTCAGCAAGTATCAAATATTGTAGCTGCTTCTGTGCTATACTCTAATTGAAACTGGGGAAGTTTTAGCATACTACTACTACTGATGGAAAGCGTTGCTGATCAGTTCTTGGCTTCATCTTCCCTATGCCAAAACAAGCCCATCATTGTGAGAGCACATTACCTCCATGATTTCTTCGCATTGATGCTCGCTTGAGAGCAGCGCCAGGCACCCCACCGTGTCCGCATTGATCTCGCGCATAAGCGCACCCATGCAGGCCGACCTCAAATTCAGCAATCCGTATCTAGTCATTCAAAATCCCACAAAGTTAGGAGACTTGAAACTTTGGTTTCGAGTGATTTGATTTACCAGAATGGTGAAACGAGGAAATTTTCCAGAATGGAAGGAAATACTAGAAGAATGCAAGACAATTTCCTGTACTCTCCAAGAAAAACGGATTTTTCTTATTTACGTTTAAGAGAATGAAATTGGGCCAACTTCGTTATGTCGAGTGTCAAATTGACGCCATGGGAAGGGCGTGCGTAGTGTTTATCGGGGAGGAACTGTGAACTTTGGAGAGTGCAGAATTGAAAAAGCTTGACGCAAATGAGAAGACAGCCAAATGCCCGCTGATGATCAGCAGCAATTCTCTACTTGCCAAAAACCTCCCTCAAATGAGTATATGACACCCCGAATTACATAACCTGCAAACGTGCCCCCCCTGCAATGGCTTCAAATACCTCATTTTAAGTATCCGCCGCCCCTGCAAATCTGACTGTTTCACTTCCTTAAACACTTTCGGGAGTTCCGGATACCACTCGCCGCTTCCATTTATGATATCGAATGACGTTTGATATTGTTATGTAATGCCCTTCCGTCAAGCTGGTATCGCCGAGAAACTGAAGGCAGGGGGCTTGGGTTGGGATGGGGTGGGGAAGCCAGAGCCAGGCTAGATTGACGTTAAGAAAACGAACTGATATATTCCCTACAAGCAACATGCCTTGAGGGCGTATTTCAGCTGCCAATAAAACGCCGCTTACTTTCTGATTTATGTGAAAATTTCATCTGAATTTCTGACCAATGCGCACCATTGATAAAGGTTCAGAAGAATTACGTGTCACTGTGATGCCACCTGTCACTCGCACTGAAAAGCTCTGCAGCTCTGTCCTCCGGTATCGTGACCAGGCATCCATATATGAATTTCAGGATCAGCTCCAGCGCGTACGGTGTAACGTCTCCCACTTCCACAACCCGCGTACCCACGTTCTGCGTGCACAAATATCGAAACATTAAAGCAGCACAAGCAGTACAAAGTACACATGTACCGGAAAGCACGAAATGCACTGAACGCATCACAGGTTATGGTGCAAGTATGCAATAGCACATATTACCCCTGGCTAGATCACAGCACTGGATCCCCGCTACGCCATTTGTTGATTTTTTGGCTTGAAAAGAATGCTATAATCTCAATCACGGAATGGTCTATTGCGGTTGCTTGGCCCATGCGCCATTCATTAATGGAGAAATATCGCTGCATTGTCAATCCAGGAAACTAACTATACAACTGCAATTAAGACTATGACTAGCTAATATGACAATTAAGCTAATGCAGCATAATTATAGTGGTTATCAGTTTGCACACCGCCCTGGTCTCGGAATCCTCGACGAACATGCCCTGGAACCTGGGAGACGCCGATGCTAAGATGACACGATGGGCGGGGAAATGCCGACCGGAAGCCACCAGGGTGACGTCGCTCAGATGAGAGCTGACGCAAAACCCCTCCAGATGACACGAAGACAGTGGAGGCGTGCCACAAGTCCCGCCAGCGGCGACAGGGAACATGGGGGCGACGGATTGTAGGACATCAAATGCTTTGGGGACGGCGATCACGTCGAGGTATTGTATGTTAGCGCTCATGTCGACGCGGGAAGATCCGCCCAGGCATGCGACGCCCTTGAAGGATGGGAGACACACAGCCGCGTGAAGGTGCCTACGGGAGACATCCAATGCAGTCGTCGATCGCAAGGGCTAGCAAATTCTCGGCGTGTTCTTATTTAGTCCAGTAGTTGCAATTTTTCACTAAGGAGGTTGATCAATTGATTTGCAGCTATTTTGGTTGTGAGTGAATATCCGTGTTTGGCGAGCTTCTAATGTTTTACTTCAAACTTCTTTGCACGGATTCAATGTGAGCAACGCACTTCTCTGATACACAATGCGCTCGGCCGCGTGGAATCCTTTGTTGTCATCGCAATCTTGTGCGACCAGGCGCATGGAGGCGCACCAAATTTCTGCATATTGATTTTCAAAAGCCAATTCCAATCTACCCAAGGAATGTTTTCAAAAGAAGCTTACGTTCGAAATATGTTGTCATTTCAGATCCATACAGTGTTATGGCTACCATTATGAGCTTTTTCGCGTCGTGTTTATATTGATGTAGCTTGTCTGTTCTTTTTGAGGCAAACCATTCCTGCATGAATCAGCTCACGCTGATCCTACCCACACGCACCTCGGCCCCGGAGGTGTATTGTATCGCGTCTCGAATTCCACACAGGTCCATTTGCCTGATTCCAAATCGACCATCCGCGCTTCAGCCGACACCTCTGGAGGCGACCTTCCCACAATCAAGCCTCCCCACAGGATGGCGGTGCACGAATCGAGAATGGCGCAGAATGTGCAGTTTGTGCATCCCAGGGGAATGTCTCCCGTGGCTCGGACCATCTCCCACTGCGGCTCGTCGTCAATTAGAAACAGCTTCCAAATCTGCGAAGTACAATAAATAAATAAGTAATATATTCAAAATACGCATACATAATATAGATAAATCATTATTACAAACATCGAGGACACAAGTTTGTTCGCCAGCAGCTGCGGACACCGTAATTCTGCATTCCTGCGGAAGCGGGGCATCTTGCAATCTCATTTTTAGCATGGCGGACACCTGGAGACTCTTGTAAAAAGCTCGAAACAGTGTGGAGGTGTCAGGATGCGATCAGTGGCATATAGAAATGGCTTACTGTATACTCATGTCGATTCCAAATGTTGTTTTTAAAGTGGTGTGAACATATCCTAGTCATTTTTTATCATGTTTATATACTTTATGCTGACAATGCATGCATTCAATGCGCATTGAACTGCAGATTCCAAGCACGTATGTATCTCATACTATCGATGTACCCATATATATGCTGGTTTGAAAACACGAAAACGACCGTCATGTAAAGAGAATATTCTTCAATTTAAGCTGCTTATAGGATGTGTCCAGCATGAACACAGACTAACGCACACCCAACTAATGAAACGGTCAATGGACTAAGCTAGCAGGTACATGGAGCACCAACATCCAACATCTGGGCACCAGAAGTTCGATAAACACAAAGCAATGCATGTCCGCCTAGCAAGATCATCTGCCTCTGTGGCTATTGAATAATGTCGGCAAAGATTTTACAGCGCATCCGCCCTTTGATGTGGACGTTGCACGAAGAGCCTCCGTCAGAGAGGTATTTCCTACCTCGATGAGCGGCGACGGGTCCGTTCCTATGGAGCACCATCCCGCGACGTACAGGCAATTGTCATGAATGACGGCGCCCTCCACGTTGTCTATCTCGGGACCCCCCAATGCCGTCAGAAGAGTCCATTCCCCGCTGCAGAAGTCCAGAAGCCTGACCTCTATCGAGAACGCCGCGTCCGGAGCGACGTAAACAGCTTTGGCACCCCACGGTACAAATTTTGGTGTGATGATGCGGCATCGCGGATCTCCATTTTCCGCTGAGCCGCTTGGTATCTGCCCGCACTGGCGCACCTCGATCCATCGCCTATTGTTGGAAATCGGCAACAGTCGCATCAGGGGCAGAATGCTCATTTTTTTCAGCAATAAAGGAGTGCGGCGCTCCACCATAAGGATTGCCTTGATCACAATGACGCCTTTTCTTTGCAGCGATCGTTGCTTTGAAACCACCGTATTTTCGGAATTTTTGTGTGGCTGCTGTCATGGGAACGTCAATGAATCATCATCATCAAAATACACGGATTACATTTGTCGCAAAACGACAAAACACAGCCCCTGCACCTGGTAAGTGATGATGGGCGTGAAAACCAAGCAGATAGTGTGTCAGTGAGTACTCTACGCTTTCTGCAGCTTGGAAATTACCCAACATATGGTGCCTCATTTTGCCATCCTCCGCGCCGGTTGGCATCATTCATGTTGCGCAAACCGGCTTCTCTCCCATTCGGCCCATGTAGGGGCCACCCACGCACCTGCTGGCGAAGTCGAATCGATACAAGTCCTCCATGGCATCCACGGACGAGTTCCTTCCCCCCAGCACCCACATCTGCTCGCCCCACACCACCGCCGCGTGTCCCCACCGTGGCATGGG